ATTGCATCTTGTCTTATATTTAAGTCTTTGATCCATTTTGAGTTTATTTTTGTGTATGGTGTAAGGGAGTGTTCTAGCTTCATTGTCTTACATGCTGCTGTCCAGTTTTCCCAACACCATTTGCTGAAGAGACTGGAGTATACTCAGTTTTGCTTAAAAATATGCAATGTTTTATTTCTGAAGTGGTTCCGTAATGTAATTCAAGTGAAAGATGCCAGTAAAAACAAAATAGTCCCAATTTTCATTTCATTTAGTATCATCTGACAGCGCCTTTCCTAGACTGTGGGTTTTCTTTTTTAGCAGATGCAAGCATTCATCCATGAAGTGGCAGCTGGTGACACAGAGAATCTGGAATTTTTGCCAGGTCAATGTAGTTCATTTAATGAGCGGTTAATAGATGTCCAGAGTCGTGCAGATGCATCCAGTGTGTACAGGAAGCACATGGTCTCCTCTTTCTGGAGCTCGTGTTCCAGTTACTTCCCTCCTCATTCACCACTGACCATTCCTGCTTCCTTTACCACAGAGCCCTGGAGCTGCTATGACAAGACAGAGGCTCTTCCGGGCTTGGGGCAATTGCACCAATAAAGCAGACACGGACCCTTGAGCTACGTTCTCCTGCACAGGTGAGTCAGTACCTCTTTTTGGACGCAAGGTGGCAATGATTCAACAGATATTCTGCTGTTTCCCAGACCTGGTGGTGAGTGCTGAAGGAAAACAACACAAGATCTATGTTTTCAGGATTCCCATCTCATAGACCCAGGCGTAACCTCAGTAAAAACATGAGCCAGTGCTTTCTAAGGATTTGAATGCCATTTTTTGCAGTATAATATCTGAAAGCAGTAGTTCAAGAGGGTTAGAAGGATTCAGATAAGAGACCAGAAAGGACAGAGGATTAGGTACTTGGGACGTGGTCGGACAAGGAAGGACATGCAGTCTTGTGATGGGCATTCAGAAGCTATTCATGATGGTTAATTTCTGTGTCAACGGCTGGCTCAAGTACCCAGACACTTGGTCAAACATTCTTCTAAATATTTCTGTGAAGGTATTTTTTTTGGATGATTAACCCTGAGTAAAGCAAACTACCCTCCCCAATATAGGTGGGCCTCATCCAAACAGCTGAAGACTTTATTAGGCAAAAACTTTCCCTCCAGAATTCTGCCAGCAGATGGCCCTTGGAACCTCTCTGAGTCTCCAAACTGCTGGCCTACTTGTGGATCTGGGCTTGTCAGTCTCCAAAATCTACGACTAATTCCTCAAAATCTCTCTCTCTGGCTAGACACGCATTGACATTCTTGCCAACAGTGAGGACCTTGCAGAGTTGGAACAGCACGTGACTGAGACATTTTCTTCATTAAGGCATGTCATGCACCTCTCTGTGAATTTATCCTTTTACTACAACAAAACTAACTTCAAACTAATAATAAAAATACATCGGATGAATCCCAAATATTTGGAAATTTAAAAATGCACTTCTGTATGATTCAAATCTCAAAGAATAAATCACAAGGGATTTAAAAAATACTTTTAATTTAATGAGGGTGAAAATACAAGTGTCAAAATTTGTTGTGAGATGCAGCTACAACATTGCTTGAAGATACATTTTAGTTTAAATATGTATATTAGAAAAGAAACATAAAAATCAATGGTATGATCTTCCACCTCAAAAAACTAGAATAAGAAGAGTAAATTAAATCCCAGTATAAGAAGGAAATGAGGGTGGTATGATCAGAAATCAGTGAAATAGAAAATTGATCAAAACCTGATTTTCTGAGAAGATGAGTAATGTTAACAAAATTCTAATCAGACTGATGAGAAAAAAGAGAGAGAGCACAAAATAGTAATACTGGACACGAACATGACACACACAGCTCCTGCAGACCTCAAAGGGAGCAGTGTGCTGCCGTGTCTGAAACTCCAGCTGGAATGGCTCGATTCCATGACAGATGCAAATTAGCAATCGAGAAGTAAACTCAAGCAGAATTTCAAACTCAATCTCAATTTCTTTATGTTAATTTTAAAAATTGAATTCATAATTAACCTACCCTCTTTAACCTCTAGACCCAGATGGAATCACTTGATAAAATCTATGAAACATGTAAAGCAGAAGTAAAGTCAACGCTACACACAATCTTGTAGAAGATAGCAGATGAAAGACTTCTCCATTTTTTTTATGTGGCTAGCATTGTCCTGACACCAAAAAAGGGAAAAAAACTTCACAAGCAAAGAAAATTGCATGTGGATGTCCCTTGTGAACACAGATGCCTATATGCCTATACATATATATATGTATATATATATCTTCAAATATCTGTAAATCAAATCCAT